TTTAAAAAATTATGGAGAAGAAAATATTTTATAATGGAGAAAAGAAAATTGTCACATGTTACCAATGAATGAGTGGTCACAATGACATGTTAATAGTAAGGTTTGAAACATGTACCGACTGCTTTTTTATGCTCGCAAATCTACTGCGCTCCACTTTGAGATATAATGGACTTCTACCCCAATTTATTAATTTTTCATACGCATGTGTCTCTCCTCGATACAGTCTTCAGACTTGTTTTGATGTATGTCAAGAGTATTGGTATAGTCGAAGTAAACGATATTGTGCACTCTTAAAGTTAGCGGCACCCTCAAAGGCCTAAAAAACTAATACATAGAAATGAACCGGCAGCGAACTAGCCCTCACGGACTGTGGACTTGGCGGTTCGTATTGGATAATCATGTAACGGTGACGAATAAAAATCTGGGGAATGTGGAGATGATTATCGACGTCGTGTTCAGTTCAGGATTTGATAGCGATTTGAGTGTTGAAATGCGATATTGGTGCAGTTATAATTACTTACAAATTTTATCTATTTGAAATGTGGCGTCCTTGGACAAGTACTAATAGTAATAACGAGTGTGATAACAATGCAGACTTTTTCCAGTGTAGTGATTACAATAGCGATGGTGAACAATGCAAAACAGAGGTATCAGTAAATAAGATTCGGATGCATTTGAACATTGAAACACAGAAAATCTGTTTCAATGCACATAAGAATCTATCTACATCCCAAGTTTGGTCCCGAGGGAAACAAACTATTGCAAGCAACATCAGATTTGACCGAAATTCCTTTCTCAACTGTACGTGAAATATCAAAACAAACCTTATGAACGCAAGACGCGATGTGATACAGGATTATCAGAAGGAAAAAAATGGATACTTTCAGCCATAACGTGAGTCCCGTACACACTATTGTTTGGGTCAGATCTTTCAGATACTATACCTCGGAACCGTTCTGTAGGTGATTAACTCTATTGAATTCACCATGGTCTTGCTGCTGGATGAACAAAAAACATCTGCAAGACTTAACTCTGTGAAGTATTTTACATAAATGTCTGTCGAATATGATTCAATGTTGAGCGTGGTACTAGCTGGGGAAGTAGTTATTTCTCGGTGGGCATTTACCAGAATTTATACGAACAAAATGTCTATCAAAAAATCATATGATAATTTTTGATATTCATTTTGTTAATGTCTGTGTGAACATAATTTTTTTCACACCTACCAAGGATGCTAAACATTTGATTCATGTAAACAACACATACTTTAACCAATATAATACTTTATATATATGAAAATTCCCCAATGTTGAGGAAGTGATTTTTTAAAATAATGCTCAAGTAAATGAAATAAGATCTCGCTGCCTGCTCAATTTGATGAGAAGAAGGTAATTTTTGAATAAAATTAGAAGTTGAAAGATATAGGTTCATCAAATATTTTTCCTTTAGGTAGAACCTATATGCTAAAACAACTGTTAGCTCATATGTCAAATGTGTTTTGCTGGCAAATATGAAAATCAACGATGAGTTTTATGAAGGTAGAAATGTAGATACGTCTGATACGTGTAAATACTTTTTAAATTGTGGATGTTAGAATAACAACGAATTTTTTATACTCCTGTAAATGTCGTCTAAGTAATGGACCCCTGCATTTTCCATATTGTTTACTCCATATTGTTCACTTCATCAACATGTGTAACATATATTGAACGAATTGAAAACAGTTATTGGAGATATGAATACTTTGTTTCAGAAACTGAAGAATTCGATCAAATCGGACATTGTAGAAAGATGTCCTAAATGTGACGAAACAGATTGTGATTGCTTCCTGAAAGATGAAGAAATGGAACAAATGCTTGTTATGCGTCCAACTGGTGATGTACTCACAGGCGATAACTCCGTACCTCTAACAGCACTTTTTCCTCGAAATTTCCAAAAACGGTATGCTGAACATGAAAGGTCCTTCAGACTAGGAAAAATGATTCGACGTTTTCAAACCTTTCCTTGGCATACAACCACAAGTTTCCGAATCAAACTTAATTATTTAGAATCCTTGGAAATCCTCAAGCATAAAAATTGCGAGTGCAACCTGTTAACTGATCAAATCGATATAGTTTACTCGCCGGTTTTTAAATTGGCACATCCGCATTGTGAACTGTAAATTCAGTAAAATCAAGTCAAGTACCTCTATTTCTATTAGTACCTACAGGGGTGGTATATAATGGCGAATGTAATGAGTCATTGTTATTTTATCGTATAAGTTTGAAAATGTCCGTATAGGACGAAACTGCAGTAACTTTAGTTACAAATAAAAGTGGTAAAAAACATAGAAAGTGTCATTTCTATTTCATTCATTATGATTTCCTACCAAGTAGTAACGGCTACATCCATCAATTTATTTTCAAGTACTTTTAGCCAAGTATTGAAGTTTATAACATTTGTGTCGTCATTTCACTTTCTTCATTACTTTCGAAAATTGAAACCATTCCAGTGTCATGGTTGAGCTTTCCTTGGTGAAACCGAGTGTTTGATGTATTTCATGACAAATGACAGATTTGGATATCGCATGTTGTCAATTATTTCTTAATTTTTATTTGAGAGCCTCGTTTTGGAGTGTTTCGAAAGTTTCGTCCCTTTCTATGGGTCTACTTTGAAGTGTAATATATCAGTGAATCGTATTCAATTCAATTGAAATAGGCGCTATTTGAATCAGTGCACTTTTGCCAAAGTAACACAAGTCGAAGGTAATACCGGTGAAAAAGTTATCGAAGTACTTGAAAAGATAGTAGTCACTTGGCAAGAGGTCAGGTAAGTATGATGGGGGAAACAGTACTCCAACGCTGGATTTTTTAATTTTCGGACGATAATTTGTGAAACGTGCGGACGGGCGTTATCCTGAAGCAGAATCAGACCACTTCTGTCGACCAGTGCCGGCTGATGGCTGCTGATGACGCAATTCTCGGTGAATTACCACGATTTGACTCTACTGTGAGAAATTGTACCAGTTGTAGAAAGTTATAGGGGATTTGTTTGGTGGGTATTCGCCTGGGTGTCCCATTGGTGTCCAACCACTGTCCTGAATATCCCCTGTTGTTGTAGAGGATCCACTTTTCATCACACATGACGATCCTGTGCAAAAATGGATCGCTTTAGTTGCGCAAAAGCAAAAAAGAACAGACTTCGAAACATGATAATTTCTGTCGATTGTTCGAATCGTGGGTTATCCACTTTTTTAGCAGGTTAGCCTTCCAAATACGTTTTATACCATTAAAAACCGCATGGGAGCTGATGCCCATTTCTTCCGCCACACCACGTACCGTTTGAGATGAGGTCAGTCTCCACCAGGGTCCTCAAATCCTCGTCCTAGATAACTGCAGGTCAAGGCTCATCTTCGAGGCTAAAATATTCGGAACCATATTTCGCAAACCAATGTAGAGCAGTGCGTTCATCAACATTATCATTGCTAATTGCACGGTTGATTTTTCGGACTGTTTCGGCCACGCTTTGGTTCGATTTGAATTCGTAGTGAAAAATTGGCCAAAAATTTCTTGAACACATCATATGGTAATGATCTGAAGAAGGCAAAAAATTCAAATTTGGAAACAAATAAACATCATCAGGTCTATATTTGAAAAAATGAAGTTGATGATGAAATGTAATGAACGAAACGTCGCATTGTATATAGGCTGTAATGAGATCATAACAAATATGAAAGTTCCTCTGCCTTTTTTTATATCATNTTTTTTTATGATGCACTGTTTGGAACTTTTGGTGTAGTAATGAATATTACTGAAGTTTTTTCCCAACACCAAATCGTTATTTCAACACCTCGACACATGTTTCGATCATCAAGTGATCATCTTCAAGGGGAAGATTAAATCCAGTAATATTCAATACTAGTTTTTGATGAATATTTCAAAAACAACCACGGATATTCTCGATCTGAAAAGAGATGATCATAGTCTTCCAAAATAGGAAACTAGCTTAAGGAAAGGTTTCTTTATGTGTTTATATTGCAGCCATTACAGTTTATCAAATTATGTAATTTTAACTAGAAAGGAATGACAACTGGGATGGTATAATTGTATCGCTTCATAATCAGAATATACAGACTAACTTATGTAATTGAAATTTCGTTTATCTGTTCGATTTTTCTATCTTCTGCAACCGAATATATCAAACGGTTTTCACTACTCTGTGGAGATTCTACAATAAAAGTTACTTTCGAATAGTTCCGTTCTGCTACATCATTTCAGTGTCCTATAGTATGATAACAACTATCAGTTGCAGCGATTCGAAACGAAATTTCCTCAGGTTTGTCTATCTCAAATATAACGGACTCGGTTTTTTCACTTCTCCAGCTGCAAGAAGACCTAATTTCTTTTCAAAACTGAATTATCTCTAATAAATTATTCGGGACGAAACATTTATAATACCCAATGAAACATTTCAGGGAGGAATCTACGTATTTCAATTGATTGACCACTATGCTGCCACAATCTCCATAATGTATCTTGCCTTTTTTGAAGTGATTGCCATTTCCTGGATTTATGGCGCTCGAAGACTAAGTCAGAATGTAAAAACAATGACTGGGAGGCATCCTGGAAAATTCGTAATGTTCTGCTGGACGATCGCAACTCCATTGATGATATTAGCTTTATGGATTTTTCTGATAGTAGATTATGAACCTCCTACTTACAACAACGGGGTATACCACTATCCTGGATGGGCAATTGCTATTGGCTGGATTGTCGCCTCAATTTCTATATTCTGTATACCAATTTATATGGTGGCCGTATTCTTGAGAGCTCCTGGATCAAATCTTCTTGAGGTGAGTAAAAAACGTAATTGAAAAACTAAAAAACAAGTTCAATGTAGAGGCAGCTGAATAACTTACAAAAATTGTATATGCTTCTAGTAGTGAATATTTATACTCGCCGCCTACTAGGGGGCTGATCTACCTACAGTGGATCCAATTGTTTATGAATAATATGATTTCAAAGTTAATTTCGATTCCTGTAAGATTTCAAATATGCCCAAGTCTTTAAAGAGCTAGCAACTAACAGGCTGACCAAAATTCAATGCACACCTTTCGTTATTCAAGATATATTGGAGATGTGAAAACATTAAAATCTTCAAAATATTGGTATTTGTACACTAATCAAGATGTAAGATACCTACAGTTAAACACAATTGATTAATATTTTTTGAGCTTCAAATGAAATCTATATAATTATGATATGTAGAGATGAATAAAAAAACTGCGGTTCGATCCGGGTTGCTGTTTGTCAGGCGGGTACCGCAAATCCAACCTTTCATGTTTATAACAGTATACAGTGTCTATTCAAAAAGAAGGTGAAATCTCATTTTTCTCAATTTCTCACTTTTTTTTTCGTCCCCTTCAAAGTATACTCCCTCAGATATAATACAGCTTTGCCAACTTTTTTTCAATCTTTGAAACAGTTTTAATATGGACTTTTTGGTATGCCCTTGAGCTCAGAGTATAACTCTCAGGACAAAATCATTGTTGGTTTAATCAGAATAATATTAACTTTCATTCTTCGATAACAACTCATATTTCGCGTTAATTAAAGAATAATATCATTATTCTTTCACCGGTCAATTAGTCTCAAAAATCATCAATTTCCATAATACAATAATGAATTTCCCTGCACGTAATTAGGTATTGTGCATTTCTAACAATCAATGAATTCTGAGAAGTATCATAAATTTGTCATTTACTTCTCTCTCTGTTGTTTATATTTCAGAATATGTACCACATTTGCACCAGAACTGTTGTTTTTTATTGTTCCATGATTTGAAAATGGCCATACGAAATTTAAACTGAATTTCATGACAGATGTCAGTTTCATGTTTCTTGTCTATCGCTTTTTGATTCAAACCACATGGTCACATACCGGCATTTTGAAATTCTCAATATTATGAAATATTTAAATAAACAATTGTTAAGTTATCACTACGCCTTAGCAGATAACTAAGCTATTTTAACTTCTGATTTCACAAACATGCTTCATTTTTATAAATTTCACATAACTTTTGACACGGAAAACCAACAGTGAGTCTTAACTCCATGGTTATTTCGAATAAATATAATTATAACCTTCTCGTAGCGTTTTCCATTATAATGAAAGGTATCGAAATATTGGAATAGTACTACTTTTCGTGTTTTGTTTACCCAAAAATTATTTTTCGTAAGCGGGGCTACTGAACTAACCTCTCTTTCCTAAGGAGACCAATTGAGCGAAAGTTCATATTCTCCAATTTCAGATTGAACTTGACGTTCAAATATACAATTTTAGATATATTCATTGTCGATTGAAAAACTGCATGCATTACCTCATTGATGATAATGGTGTAAATATCGTTTTTTCTTGCAGAGGTGCTACATTTCAACCTGTATTTTATCAACTCCTCATTATCTAGTATTCAGAATAGTTACATGTGCCACGATCCATTTGAATTATTGACTGATTTTCCAATTTTCTGTATTTTCCTAGTCAGGAAAAATTTATTTGAATCTATGCTCTCATACTGACCAAATGAGAAAAACATTAGGCAAGGAAAAGTATAAGGTCGTTGAGATGAAACTATTGAATTCTGCTTATGGAGAGATGCTCTGCTTTTACCATTTGAATATTCCAGTCAGTTATTGTCTGCTGTAGAAAAAAATGAGGAACTTTTGAAATATTATTTGCGGAAGAAAAGAGATATTTTGGTAAACATATTCAATTTTTCATTAGGGAAACTTCCTTCAAAGGAAGGAAGGAGGGAAAACTCACCATCCTTAATATCTTCCTTCCAGTAAACAATATGAAGAATCGAAAAAACAGGTCAATGTTATTATCAAGGGGGACACTTTCAAGGACTATTTGTAGCCCTCGTGGTTCAACCCCCTAGGAGGGTTAGATGTTACCCTCAGAATTTGAATTGGTAAGGGGGTCAAGTGGCACATTATTTTGATTGGTTTTCAATTATGCTTCCAAGGGAGATGCATGGTTTGACCAGAACAGGTAAAAATATTAGGTGGTACCGTTACAATCCTCTATTAGGGGTAACATTAGACATTAGCTCCAGATAATTTTCATCAAAGAGTAGTCTAATAGTGAAACGTAGATGGTAGTAAAGTTGTGTTAGTTAATGCTGAATTTTTAATTCTCATCGCAGAAAGTGTACAGATAACCATCTTTTTTTGCTACTTCTGCTGTAAGAAGTTTGCTGTTTTCGGGCAAAAAATGAGTTCGTAAATTCAAACGATTTATTAATATTGTGCATACAGTTGTACCTATTGGGCTGTTTAGTGATTACTTCAATTAATGTACATAAGTGTATGAATGGATTACATTCTTCAAAACAGAATTGAAATGATTGTAATTCATGGAGGAGTTGTAAAGTGCGCACGAAGGGCGGGATGTCTTTTTAACGAAAGACATGCAAATTGTAATGTTAGTCATCAGTATGTGCTTGATTTGGAGAATAAGTTCTACGAAACCGGTTCAGTGACGAATGAAAAAAGAAATAACTCCAGGCAACTGAACAAAGCAGCTCAAATTGAAGTTTTGGGAACATTTTTTGCAGACCCCACGATCTCCTTACGATTAGTATTAAAATAGACGGCAATGTCACGCGAGACTATATGGAAAGTATTGAGAATGTATACATTTCATTCTTATAAAATGCAGATTTTTCAAGAGCTTCACGGTGATTATGATGAACGGATAGAATTTTGTGAAATCATGTTTCATCGTGCCAATAAATTATCTAATCTTCTGTTGAACATCCGTTTCAGCGATCAATGTCAATTTTTTCTGAATGACCATGTTAATAGACGAAATTTTTGCTATTGAAGTGACGAAAATCCACATATTTTTCGGGAAGGGCATACACAACAACTACAAAAAGGTAAAAGTTTGGCTGGTATTCTTGGAAATGCCATAATTGGTCCATTATTTCTGGAAGAAAACTTGACTGGCAATCTGTACCTAGAAATGCTTGAAGAGACTATCGATCTTCTTATAACTCACGAGCTAGAAATTCAAATGAATGCAATGGTAATGAACTTTTGCAGGAGGATCTGTTAAATGTTCGGCAGGATGGTGATCCACCTCTGTATTTCCTTTCTATACACCAGTGTTTAAACGAGAGGTTTCTGGGTATATGAATTGGCAGGAGGTGAGCGGTTGAATGACCTGTGATATCTCAGGTCATATCACGGATTAAACACCCTTAGATTTTTTCTTTGGGGGCATTTCAGATCAGTTGTTTATAAAACACAACCGTCTGATATTGAGGAAGTTAAAAAACTAAAAACAGTAGCATGCTAGTCAATTTCTAGTGAAGTTTTCCGTAATGTTAGAGGGGAGTTCGAAAAGAGACTTTGTTACTGTTTAGAGCACAATGGACGACATTTCGAACAGTTTATGAGAGAAGGGTTGGTAGATTTTTTGTTCCAAATGTCTTTCTCGCAAATTGAAAGGACAATAGGCAACAATTGAAAAATCCCATGCGTGTACAGCATAGGATTTTTCAAGGAAGGAGTCAATATAATAATTTATACAGACATATTTTAATTGTATCTGTAAGTTTGAAACGCTATTTTTCGTAAATTGCTCATCAAAAAATAAAAAGTCAGGGTATCATTGGGAGCAGAATTGAATGCCTACCAAAATACCAAAATGATGTGCCACTTGACACCCCTTTCCATTTAAGATTCTAAGAGTAACATCTACCCTTTCTTGGCGGTTGAATCACGAGGGCTACAAATATTCCTTGAAAGTGTCTCCCTTTACTATAAAATTGACTTTTTTTTTATTTCTCATATTATTTACTGAAAGAAAGATATTAAGATTGAGAAGTTTTCAAATTGACACCCTGTATTTTTCATATGTCCCGTACTAAAAAACATACTCGAACAATGTTTAGACACATACAGTATACAGTGCCGATCAGACTGGATACAAAAACATGTATCCGATTTAAGTCAATGCCGCCGGCTTCCATTGGGGCAGAAAAAGCAATCATCTGAAACTTCATCGAAAACGATTTATAGGACGTGCGATGTTTTCGGTGAATGAGTTAAACCATCTGCGTACGAACATTGATGTGTTGTTCTACATCAACGAGTTTATCAAACTGACTGCGTATTCCGAAAAAATCAGACCTCTCTGGGTTCAATAATGTTATCTGATTTTTCAACATGTCAGAAATTTTTGAGGTGTGAATATAGTTGTCGTTGTGAAAGTTCAAATGCATCAAGATGGAGAAGTGGAAAACCTAAAGCTTTATTTCCCAAAAATTAGTCTCTCCTGAATTATACCTCTTTTATTTTCAACAAGATTTCTATAGCCGGGATTGAATCGAAATCATGTCATTACATGTTACCATCGATGACGTTAGTAAATTTAACTCTTTCGTTACATATAGTCGTAATTATATGAATGGATTAAGAGCTCGGTCTTGTAATGGTATCAAGATTTGTGCTAAAGAGGCAACAAGGCAAGTGTCTTATTCCGAAACATCGATGTCCCCCATTGGGGATGAAACTGTTCCATGTAAGTGAAATTTCACCTTTCCAATAAACTATTGTGTAGCAATCCTGTCAATGATATCTGATTCAATTCCATAATGAATATTTGGAGTACAAACTGAATAGAAAAAAGTAATTTTTGTATAATTCACTATTCATATGGAAGTAGATGTTTCGAAAGTATTTTTTTTGTGTAATTCAATGTTCATATGGAATTAGTTATTTGGAGGCGGCTTTATCTTTCAGTTTGCATTTGAAAGTTACTTCTCTGCACGATCCACACGTTTTTGGAAAGACATGGTTTCTTTTTTGTCCGGAAGATTCCCAAAGTTTTTCGTTGAATATGGAGAAGAAGAAAGCCAAAATATTTTTTCCCAGAAATCGTTCTCCCCTAAAAATATCCCCCATTCAATTTACTTTTAAAAGAATTGTTTGTGCTGAATAATCAAATTAGTAAAAGTCGAGATGAAGTCATCAGTTATTTATCCATGAGAATTTAGTCGCAAAATCATATATTGCATTTCATTGACTGATGAAGGTTGAAGCTTAGTTTGTACTAGACAACTATTTCTGTCAACAGGGTGGTTCATCAACTGATGGAGCTATAATAATAATAATAATAATTTGTACTAGACAACTATTTTCTGTCAACGGGGTGGTCATCAACTGATGGAGCTAATGATAATAATAATAGTTTTATTTCCCACCATATATTACAGTTAAAAACATGTCCTTTAATGAAGATAAATATGATTAACAAAAAACAAAAAAGAAAATGTTCTGTTCAGTTTGAAAATATTGTTGATACAAATTGCGACATTGTAAGAGAAAGAACGTCTGTATATTTTTTTTGTGAGTCTAGGAATAGTAAGCAGTGTTTGACGGCGAATGTTCAGATTATGAACGTCTGTCCTGTACTTCAATTTTTTAAGAAGATAGGGCGCCATATGATGACGCCGTCTGTTATACATATTGAGCCACTTCAATTGTTTAAGTTTTTCCGATATCCGGCATCTACTCCATTCAAGCAAGGACTGTATATCTCATCGCAGTGGTTAAAGTGTGAGAGTACCAAAGAGTCACAGAGCATTTTTTTTACCTCCAATGACAAGTACTGTCTTTGCGTATAAATCAGCTTAAGAGATGAATATGCATTCCTCAGTTTATTCGTAATATGTTCTGTGAAACGAATAGATGTATCTATTTTTAGTACCAAATTTTTATGAGAAGATTTGATAGGTATTTCCGTATCACCTATTTTCAAGACGACTTGATTATTTAATGAGTGTGATATATTTTCTTTGCCAAATATCATGGCGACAGATTTTTTTGGATTGATTTTCAGAGNAGTTGGGTACTTTGTGATTGGTAGTTGAGTGAGTATTCGAGGGTTGAAGGTACCTGGCGCCCAAACACTTAAGACATCTTTGTTACAACCCGCTCCCACCTCCACTAGAATTATCCGGAGCCGAATACTTGGTCGTCATAGCGACTTCCATTTCTTAGTAGCTTTTTTCGGGCTACATTTTTGGCTGATCAGAAGATCGAACAGAAATAATGAAAACAGGAAAAAAGTTAGTTCAGCTCTTGATCAAAGTCCTTCAAATACTCCATAAACAATTAGACCAAGTGCAAGGTAAAATATATGATGTTGGAGTTGATGTCTGGATGGAATATAGACGTTCAGCAGTCAAAAAAGAACTGGGAAGAATCACCAAATGGGTCTCAAAAGAGGTAGACAGAAAATTGAATGAATAAGTTAAAAAATTGAGGTATTAGCTCTTGGTGAATTGCCGACAACTTGAAAAGCTAACGCCAACAGCTGATCGAAAGAAAAAGGGCTTTCAGCACTGCGAAGTAAGGAAATAATGTAAACATTAGTGCATCATTATCAGGAGACTGCAGAATAATTAGATAGATTTCGAGAGATTGTTTAATTTGACATGACACCGGGTTTCCTGCATCATTTTAGAGTATATGCCTTCACTGACGGTTTGAAGCCAGATGTAAAAGTTTTGTCGCTAGATTGATGTCTTACCTTGAACTGATAACTGCACTAGAGCTTGAGTGAAGTTGAAAATAATTATCTTATTCAAGGAATCAATGTCTATAAGACGAAATGTTATACAGAAAAAGTGTTGGAAACAATCAAAACTTGAGATTATAAAACTGAATGCATAGAAAGGCCGGATGCACGGCAGTCCACGGAGAATACGCTACACAGAGCCTATACCGGACAGTACGAGTAGATCACCAGCACCCTAAAAAAGAAGTCAATCATGAGATCCGAGAGAAGACGAAATCCGTCAACGACAAGTGGAAAGCAATAAGTATGCATGTATAGATCAATAGGGCTGAAAAAGAATTCTGATAATGGAAGAAATAGCTCGTACGTCAGTTGTCTTATATATGACAGAATTGGCCGATACTAGATGAAAATCCATAACTAACGTATTGTGAAATTTTCACTAAACAGTTTTACAAAAACGCAACACGTGTATCGCCATACAATGGCTTCTTCGGACGTGTTTTCACATTCCGTGGTGTGTCTTTCTGAACATCTTGCTGAACAAAACTCAACGCAGACTATAGAGAAATTTGTGAAAACAACTGAAAAAAAAACAGGGATCAAGTTCCTCTAAAGAAGTGAATGTGGTAAAAACTCACTCCATTTTTTTGATATTGTGATTATGGATGATTGAATATTTTGGGATTTTATTTCGGAATATTTATTTTTTAGTTCGCGAAACATAAAAACTCAAAGTCGTCTCCACAATTTATTATCATACTCATAGGTATAGGTGCATCATCAGCAAATTATTTGGAAATTATAGAGAAGAAAATATTTTATAATGGAGAAAAGAAAATTGTCACATGTTACCAATGAATGAATGGTCACAATGATATGTTAATAGTAAGGTTCGAAACATGATTATACATTTCTAACATCGGAGGATGATAATAAATTGTGGAGACGACTGAGTTTTTATGCTTCGCAAATCTACTGCGCTCCACTTTGAGATATAATGGACTTCTACCCCAATTTATTTATTTTTCATAGGCATGTGTCTCTCCTTGATACAGTCTTCAGACTTGTTTTGATATATGTCAAGAGTATTGGTATAGTCGAAGTAAACGATATTGTGCACTCTTAAAGTTAGCGGCACCCTCAAAGGCCTAAAAAAACTAATACATTGAAATGAACCGGCAGCGAACTAGCCCACGTAGACTTGGCGGTTCGTATTGGATAATCATGTAACGGTGACGAATAGTCGTGTTCAGTTCAGGATTTGATAGCGATTTGAGTGTTGAAATGCGATATTGGTGCAGTTATAATTACTCAAAAATTTTATCTGTTTGAAATGTGGCGTCCTTGGACAAGTACTAATAGTAATAACGAGTGTGATAACAATGCAGACTTTTCACAGTGTAGTGATTACAATAGCGATGGTGAACAATGCAAAAAAAAGTATTAGTAAATAAGATTCGGATTCATTTGAATAATGGAACACAGAAAATATGTTTCAATGCACATAAGAATCTACATCCCAAGTTTGGTTTCGAGGGAAACGAACTATTACAAGCAACATCAGATTTGATCGAAATTCCTTTTTCAACTGTACTTGAAATATCAAAATAAACCTTATAAACGTAAGACGCCTTGTGATACAGGATTATCAAATCCTTTAGATGTTCATCTAATAAAATCATTGAAAAAAACAATATACGACTGTTACAAAACTAAGGGTATTCCTATAACTGAAATCATAAGGAAAAAATTGGATAATTTTAGCCATAACGTGAGGTGCTATGACAAAACTCTTCAGAATTGGATAAAGAAACTAGGATTTCGATTTAAAATAATAAACAAATGTCAAACAGTTATGGAAAGCAAAAGAATAGTGGAATTGCGTAACAAATAAATAAATATAGACAAGAACAACGGCAAACTTTCTACTTGGACGAAACTTGGTATGACACTCACGACACAGTTACGAAAAGGTGGACTGATGGTTTGAGAATGTGTACGCCTAACATGCCTGCAAACAAAGGATCGCTACCAATCATTGTGTATTTCGGAGGAAGTACAGGATAGGTTCCGAATTCTTTGAAATTATGTGGAAAAAAACTTGGGGACTGCAATCTTGACTATCATAAGAACACGGAAGCTAATATTTTTGAGGAATGGTTTGAAAATACATTGATCCCAAATTTGTATGCGAAAAGTGTAATAGTTCTTGACAACGCTTCCTATCATTCGCGACAGCTGAACGAATTGAAAACAGTTATTGGAGATATGAATACTTTGTTTCAGAAACTGAAGAATTCGATCAAATCGGACATTGTAGAAAGATGTCCTAAATGTGACGAAACAGATTGTGATTGCTTCCTGAAAGATGAAGAAATGGAACAAATGCTTGTTATGCGTCCAACTGGTGATGTACTCACAGGCGATAACTCCGTACCTCTAACAGCACTTTTTCCTGTTGCCAGTTCTCCAAATCTACAGGCGAAAGATGCAGCTCAAATCAATAACCACGAAGAAACGTTCAGTCAATACGATAATGTGAATGGAATTAGGAGTAACGAGATGTAAAATAACTAGAAATATAATCTTTCTTTTCTTTCCAAATCAATAAAAATGCCTGTTTCACATTCTTATTCTAGATAATATCATTTTCATGAATGTCGAGGTATTCATCTGTTGATTGTGTTTCTGGTATATATCAGTCAAATAATATATCACTTCACTATAGGGTACTATATATATTGCGGGAATAGCAAATAATAACAAACATTTTTCAATGAAAAGAGCTTTGATGTTTTTCGAAGTATTCTCCCTGATTATCAATACACTGTTGCATTCGTTCAAACGATTTGTCGAAGCAGTTTTTTCATACCTCTTGAGACACCTCCAAAACATGGTTTCTGAACGCTTCAACTGCTTCTTCAGCGCAATTTACCTTTGATATTCGGGAACAGGAATAAGTTATTGGGTGCCACATCAGAAGTATTGGGAGGATGAGTCATCAATTCGATGTTTTGGCTGCTCAAAAATTCAGGTGTTTGACGAGATGTGTGTGAGAGCTCGCCTTGTCATGATGAGAATGATTCGTCTCCGGCGGTTAGTTTCACGAATTTTTCCGAAGACTTTCGGCAAACAAATGGTTGTGTATCACTCAAAAATGACCCTTCTACGTTGCTCAAGCAGAACAGTGACTACATGACTCATTCGGCTGAAGAAACAGGCGACCATTTGCTTTGCTGTGCTTATTCTACGAACAACATTCGTTGAATTTAGCTAGTCTTGTTCGGTCGATTGCTGTTTTGTTTCCAGCTCATGGGTATACATCCATAATTCGTCACCTGTCACGATTTCATACGCGTCTTTTGAAGCAACACAGTCAAACTTTTCAATCAATTTCTTAGACCACTTCCCTCGAGCCTTGTTTTCAAGCCATTGATGAATTATAGGGTCTCCTACGAAGACAAATTATTTTTACAATTGAGGTAGAACTAATGTGTGAGGGTGCCTCAATCTCACATTATGTGACATGATGATCTTGCATTATCAGTGCACGTACAACATCGACTTTTTTTGGCACAACAATCGATTTTGAACGATCTTCACGGAATTCGTCGACTGAACTACGACTACGATTGAATTCAGTACACCAACGATTTACTGTGTTTTAGATGGTGCTTTATAGCAATATAAATGAACCTTCTCTTCAAATTTACATTTTTAGGTCGAATTGATTTATTTAACAAAAAAATTGCACACATCAAAACGTTGTGAGTACGTTTGTGCTGAAAATAAACTTCATCATTGTGATACAATAATGTGTTTATTGACATTAGTTTTGCCAGTTCCCGAAATATAAATAGTCTCCAATTGTACCTCGTTCAGCTCAAACATAAGTTTCTTTGAATACAAATCCTCGAGTCTATATGTTTCATGATATTTAAAATTTTCTTTCCAAATCGTGTATTCCTTCCATTCGTGTAAATTGAGAAACGTTGTTTCATATCCTGAATATATTCCTGAATAATAATTTGAGTTTCATTTCAATCAATCAGAAAGATCATATTCATTTTTAATATGTCATGTCGACACGAGTATCTAATTTACCAACATACGTCGCATTCCATTTACTGAAGAATTCATTGGCCATTCCAGAATATCGATGACGAATCAAGAAGGATGCTGGAAATCACCAATAAATAATCGTACAGGCATCACTTTCAGTTTCTAGAGGAAACTGACTGAAGTTACTTTCAAAATTAAACTATTCATGATAATAATTGAGAAATTTTAACAAAAATGTTTCATTTTAGACGCATTTGGGTGACACCGTAGCTTCATCGGTAGTAATGGTACACACTGAATAACAATTCTTATTTATAAAAGTCGTAGTTACTTCATTTGATTTGTAACAGGCAGAATTTGAAAAACAATTATAATTCCATTTCTTGGACAACAGCAAATTTTGAATATGCCAGTATTGCTATTATGAAAAATGGGTGTTAACCTCTCGATAGTCGTTCAATAGGAAATTTGAATGTTTGCTCTGATCGATTTCTAGAGACTCCAGCAGGTTCAATTCATGTCCGTTATTTTCTGTATAAAGTATGTAGTGATAGTGTTGAAATTGTGAAAAAGTCGCATGCATAAGTAGGTGGCCTTCTTCAATTCAAAACTTTTTTCATATTTGGAGATTTCCGTTTTAAAATTCATTGAAGTACACTACAAACTAACATGCGGATCATGTGCAAACGTTCATATAAAAAGGACTTTAAGAAATTTCAGAACTAGGATCTCCGAATATAGAAGAAGTTTCGAACTGAAGAAGACCAATTTTTCCTATGTGTGTCACCTCTTCGAAAATAATCACGATTGCAGCACTATCTACGACATATTCGTACTACATACAGAAAGTGAAGTAAAAGATTTCAAAAAAGCTATATTTCTTCACTAGAATTTCGAAATATATTTCTACAAATGCGAAAATAACCGTATATAATACAATAATACAGCCCCATTTTTATTATTGCAGTATACGCTGTTATACAGTTTTTACCAAAATAAAATTATGTCGCTGCAAAAGGTAAAAAAAGAGGAATGAGGGTGGTTCTTGGATGTAATCGTTATGCAAGTATATGTTTTATGCTCAGTGCATTACAGTGGATGTCTATTCGTGAAAGGTATTACAGATCAGCAATGATATTTATAACATAACCAATCATATGCTACCTTCTTATTTCGAAGAATTCATCATTTATAGAAATTCCACTCACAATTATTACACTACTAGACAAAATGACAATTTTCTCCTGCCACGATGTAGTTTATCAAACTACATGAAAATTTCATTATAAAAGAGCCTCATTGAATATAACAAACTTCCACAAAATGTGAAGAATAATAAAAACCTGTTTCAACTCAAAAAAGATTTGACTGATTATATGAAAGATATCACAATAGAATAGATAGTAAGTGACTCTGTATATATTATGTATTTATGTGTACCTGTATGTATATATGTACTATAACCTTACTATGTTTGTCTATATAACATGAAATATTATGTATATTATGTTTGTGTATTAGAATCTTCCTACCAAATAAATCATTCGTTCATTCAGTTTTTGCCTCTTTGATGGCATTTCTTCGTCATTAGATTCGACAAACATTTCCAATTCTAGTTGATCTTCGACATTTTCAAGATCATTACCTTCTTCGTCTCCAATATTATTTCCATTAACTTCTTCGTAGGTTTTTTCTTCCATATTGGAGCAATTTTCAGAATCATGATAATTTGAGCATAAATTTGTGCATTTTAAATCATGTTTTTGACAGCCACATATTAAACGGTTATATCCAGTGTCAGAGCTGCAGCAATAGTTTTGAGGAGTACTTCCGGAATTGATCCCTTTTCTGTAAATTAGGGCAGAATGCCACGTTGACGTTGCTTCCCACCCCAATCCGTTGGTATCAGTTCATTACCCAACCAAGTTTGGAGCTGTAAATATGCCTTGCAACAATGTTGTTCTGCTGCTCCTTCTGTGGGTGGGAGGTTTGCCAAAATGAAAGATGCTTTAATTTTTGCCAATTGATATTTTTGAAATCTTAATTGATTCTGTGTTATTTTTTCATNATTTTAGTAGTCTTATGTGTCCCCAATCGTACTAAAGTAGTTTGAAGCACCATTGTGTCCAAAAAAGTTATGTACAGAGCATTTAAACTTTACAAAAAAAGAAAGAAAATAAAAAATCTGACCTTTGATGCCAATTAAAAAAATAAATAAAATACATACGGGTGTTCAGACACCTTTAAAAACATACTTAGTTATTGCTCTTTCGTTTGAGGTATCATTCACCTTTTTACCTTAAACTTTTTTATTTAGACAAAAGTATTTTTATTCATTTCATTTAAGTGATCATGAATTACCATGAAGAAAACAAGTCATCAATCACACATAATACCCTTAAAAACTCTTCCCCTCCCACTTTTCGAACTCAGATCGCCCCTAATTAATTTTTTCTTTCATTTTCATCATATTCCCCTCCTTTTCTGATGGGTTTCATCCTACCTTTAGTTTTTTTCACTTTTGACCGTTTTTGAAGATTTCAGCCTTGGTCTAATTGTAATGAATGAATCCATCATGAACTCTGCTGTCGCATATCTGAACTGTATTACTATGAGAAAGTAGAGCCTAATCAATTTGACTGACAAAGGATTAGTCAAGTATATTGAAGTAGTCTTGATTGAAAGTTCAACAGAGGGATGCAGCAGGTCAACTAGAATGGAATTCAATCGAAAGGAGTGAAAGGGATGGATTTTTGCTTAGAGTAAATACTAGGAACGAAAACAATGAACAAGTTGAGCCCAATAATCGAAAAGAGAATACTACAGTTTATGTTGTTACAACTTTGGAAAAATGAAGTATTCACGAATCAATTGTAAGCAACGAAAAATATTTTGAAAAAGTGGAAGTGGATCAGATAAAAAAGAAGGCAGAGGTGTCTTTAGATGAAGGCAACGTAGCCAATTGGTAAGGGATGACCGAATGCCAAGAAGAATAGGCCGATAACCTACATAAAAAAATTTGGTTTGTAAATCACCCGTCCGAAGTACAGAACGTGTCACTGCTTTTAGTGCCCAAACCATCAGACTCTGAAGTAGAATGGTAAGTTCCTATAATTCCGACGTCATCCATCTAGACGCTGAATAAGTGCTAATATAACGATTACTTCCTATATTGAAATCTCACACCAATCTTCAACAAAAAAATAAAAAAACTTTTTGCAAGAAACGGCAAATAAACGATCACTTCTGATAAGCTAAGGCTCGTATTAGCACTGGAGCTAGAACAAAAACTGGTGTAAACAATGACCAATACTTCTGAACTTTCCTTGACTGCTATTTACAATCTATTGAAGAATCTAGACGAGAAATTTGATAAATCACAAATTACGCTTGCCGAGATCAAATCTGAATTACTAGGTGTCAACGATAAAATATTACTACTCGAAGAAGAAAATGATACTTTGAAGAAAGTCGTACAGTCGCAGGATCGCAAACTTCGGCGGAATAACTTGTTGGTTTTTGGTATCGAAAAAGAAGACAATGGTGAAGCCCTTTCTCTCCTAAGTCATCT